AAAAAAAAAAAAAAGCCCCTACAAATAGGTTCCACAGGGACAAAGAAAGCCATACAACCGTAAAAATCAGCCCAGCAAATCTGAGCCCTTTTACTACAAACAAAACACCCCACACCAGCCACCGAAACCTGAAACATAGTACGACACCAAGGGCCAAGTCCCACTGGCACAGTTGGGTTTCCTCAACGCCTGAATATAGACTTGTTTGAGGCCATGTGATGTTGAGGAAACTCAATGCTGACTTGGTCCAAAAGTCCTCCTTTTTTTTTTTTTTTTCAAATTCTCATATATTTCAACCAATTCAATGAACGAGGTCGGGGATCCTCAGGGACAAGACCTCTCCAGAGAAAATACGAGGAAAAAAGAACGAGGCGAACACAATCGTTGTCAGAGGTTGGCGCTGCGCTGCGACCGAAACGGCGGGCTCATTCGGATCGCGGCGATGAAGGCTGATCAAGCCTTGGTGCACTTGACTCTGCCCGCCCCGAGTGGGAAGTGGCGACCATAGCCGGTCGTGGGAGAGCGGGTGCAAGTAGCCGGCACCACGGCGATAAGCCACAGGCAAGAGGCGCCGAAGACCAAGCTATGACGGAGGCAACACAAGGCGAAGGCGTACACGATTGTCAAAAAGAAGCAAGAAAAGAGGCACCAAAAAAGCAAGCAGAGGCTCTAAGTGGACGGGACAGGCAAAAGAAGGGAGCGACAGAAGAGGGGAGAACTGCGGGGAAAGAAATGAAACTCTGCCAACAAGGGGTGAGGGCGTGAACGACAAGCAGAGGCTCCAAGAGGGCAGGGCAGGCAAAAGGAGGGAGAAACAGAAGAAGGGGAATAGAGGAGAGCGAGATGAAACTCTGAAAGATAGCCACGGATCCATGTTAGAACCAACAAGGGGTGAGGGCGCGAACGGCAGTCAAGGAGTGAGGAGGTAAGGAAGCAGGGACCTCGACGACGACAAGCGGACAAGAATCAACGGTAAGAAGGGGGTAACCGACCATAGAATCGCAGCACTGTCAAGAAGCTGGAGCAGGAACTGGCGGGAGAGGAGGCAAGAGGACACGGCGGGAGAGTAGGCGACAGGACCTTCGACTCACTTCCTTTGGGGCCCTGGGGTCTTCCCGATGAAGGAAGAAGAGTCCCTCAGAGGTAAGGAACATTCCCCATGTAGTGCTTCCCCTTCCCAACCCTGCGTCGTGCTTCCCCCTCCCAACCTGGTCTCCCGCCACCCAGCACAGCTAGTTCAACCATAGTCCTCCCCACCCCTTCACCCCATCCCCCCAACTCGCCCGGATCCCGACCCCGCTTCGGGGTAATACCCCGATCGCCTCCTCTCCCATCTTGATCCCGTCCCCCTCTCTCCCCCAAGACCACCACCCGCCTCGGCCCTGACTTTCCCACTACCCGGGTCCTCGCCCAGCTCCCCGATCCCTGCTTGCCCCGATTGACCCCCGTGCCCAGTTCACTCCCCCACCTCGATCCCGACCCCGACCCACCCAAAACCGCTCCCACCCGATCCCGACCCCGCGCTCCGGGGAACTATCCCGTTCGCCCCCATCCCGATCCCTCTCACTCCACCATCTCGATCCCGGCCCTTCTAGTACCCGGATCCCTGCTTGTCCTCCCTCACCTCAGCCCCGCCCCTTCACCCCATCCCCCCCTCTTACTCGCCCCCCGCTCCGGGGTAATACCCCGTTCGCCTCCACCTATCCCCATCATGTCTTTCCCAATACTCGGATTTTCTCCCAGACCCTCGATCCCTGTTCGCCCTGATCCCGACCCCCGTGCCCACTTCATTCCCCGCCTCGATCCCGACCCCGACACATCACCCGCCTCGATCCCGACCCCATGCTCCGAGGCCCTTTCAGTACCCGGATCCCTGCTTGTCTTCCGTTTCCTTAGCCCCGCCCACTTCACCTAGTCCCCGCTTCCCACTAGCCCCGCTTCCGACCCCGCTCCGGGGTAATACCCCGTTCGCCTCCACCTACCCCCATCTTGATCCCGACCCCCTCGCTCCCCAAAAACTGCTTCCCCCCCAAACCCCCGATCCCTGCTTGCCCCGACCCCG